TGAGGGAGATAAGTGGTATACTTCAAGTTAAAAACTATGTACAGTACATTGAGAACGTTGTCTACTCTTCAGGGAAAGCTATATCAGGGTCTGTGCTTGAATCAAACAATTGACTTAAGCTTTAAGCAGTAGCAACAAGCAGTAGTAGTAACAATGTCAATTTCTTTAGAGCCACAGAGCAGTGTCTTTTTAGTGCCCGGTCATACCAGTGCGATTTGCAAATTTAAATTGGACCTGAAATCGCATCTAATGAATGTGAATGTCAGTGTCTTAACCTGTGCGATTTGCTTGCAGCACAATTTCTAAAGTAGTTCTTGCATTACTTTTTCTGAAGTTTTGTTGCGATTTCACATACATAGACTATAATGGAAATCACACTGCAAATTGCAAGAAATCATTGAAAATATTCACAAGTAGCAATAAAGTCTTCAGAAATCACACCTGAAATTGCACACAAATAGCACAATTTTAAATTGCAGCGGTGTGACTTAAGTAGTAGTGGACAGGTGGACAAAGCTCTTCAGCTAGAACTGCAGCTGACTTCCTAGCACCAGAGAGGGTTAAACAGCACTCAGTCTCCAAGATTCTTAGAGTCATCAGTACTCCCAAGGCCCAAGAGCAGCTGGAAACCTTCCTCCATGATACCTGACCAGATCTTCAGTAGAAAGTCCATCAGTCAGCAGGACCCGGGTCTCAGCTATTCAGGCCATCATGCAGCCCACCTGAGGCCTACGGTAGCAACTACCTGGGGAGTGCAATGTGCCCTCAATCAAGGTTTGGGCAGCTCTAGCCAAGAAAGACCGAGAGTTTAGTGTGCTCACTTTGCTCACACAACTGAAACAATTACCCAGCATTCCCCTCTTTCTGGGATTGGCTAAGACTGTATCATTATTCATGCTTCCATCTGCATAACTCCACACCTATCATCCAGAAACATCTACAGTCTTACTGGATACAAAGGAAGCTAGGCAGGCTAGCAGCACCTGAGCACACTGAGCAGACCTTACTAAATGATCACAGCTCTCTTAGTATAGTGAGCCAACTGTGCTTTTTCCTAGCAATAATTACAATCACTCTGCACTCTCTCAGTGACAACTAGATTTACTTCTAAAAAACATAACTAATCTATCTAATTCCTAGCACCCACCTAGGAGGGTGCTACATATCTAATAAATATATATATACATATACATATATATACACATGCACACACAAAGTGAGAGAGATAAATTAATTTTACTACAGTACACTCGTTTGTTTTGCTTTTTTGCTTCATTTTTTGGGGTTATATATTACAAGCCTTTAGCCAAATTCCATGACCTTTATCAAGTTGTGTTACATATGATCAGTTTTAGATCACATAACATCTCTCAAGAAATCAAATTAAAACTTATATCAAAAGTACAATGTTTTGCTACACTTGACAGCAAGCTAAATTTGGAAATGGATACACCAAACTAAACACTGAAAATTGGAACATTCAAAGCAGACACATGTAGATGTAAATCCCCACTAGAAGAGATGAAAGAAATCATGCATATTAGTAATAAATTAATAATTTACAAAAATAGGTGAATAGCAAAGTCTGTGTTTAAACCCTGAGGGTAAGCTAACTGAATCCAGTATATTTTTTGGTATATTTTCAAATAGTTTTAACTGTAGAATCTTTTCACCTTCTCTTTTTAGTACAGTAACATCTAAAAGATCGTATCCTGGGAACTGATCTGATTGCGTCCATGTCTATTGTCCACAAATGGTTTTTCATTGGCAGTTCTGTGACTTCTCTAAAGAAGATGTAATTTCTTCTAATTCTCTGTGTGGTGTCATCTATATGGGCCACCCCACAAGGGATTTCAAAAAATATACCTACCTAACAGAAGTCACAACTACAAAAACTCCTATTTAAATTTTTTTACAGTGTGGATGTGGCAACCCTTTATCATACAGTAACATGCCACACAGAAAAGGCTAGGATAAGTGTCTTATCCGTCTCTTCCTAATTATCTAGACTGTGTCAAAATTAGTCAAACTTTTCTACTGCTGTGAGTCTGATCTAACCAAACATAATCTAATTTCTACAAAATCAAGCAATGAGCACAAATAATTGGACACATGCAGTTATATGTAGATAGCCACCTAGAAGTAAGCATCTATGTTTCTGGATTATCTTAATAACTGCATCTGACACTTTTTATTTATCAAGGAAAATGGATCTTGAATCATGGTATCTTTTCCCACTGGATATTTGGACCAACTATTACCCGCTTACATAGTTACATAGTTAGTCTGGCTGAAAAAAGTTCTTGTGTGGGCTGGTGTTCCAGACAGGCAGTGCAGTGGGTAGCCCCGGGAGGGTCCTTGTCCTGCCATGCCGCAATGTGGGTTTGAATGGTGGAAGCGGCATCGTCATGACAGAGATTGCAGAGAGACAGTTAAGCTGAGAAGAGTACCATGAATATGGTCATTGAAGGGGTGCCTGTCATCAGCTCTCTGCTGCCATTTAGAGCATCTTTTTGGAATTACCTTGCTTGGTTAATTTATAGGTCCATGGTAGGAGGTGAGCAGCCATCTATATATTTTTAGGTGGAGGAACACTAATTGAAGGTGGAACGCTAAGTGAAGGTAGAGCACTGTGTTTTTTAAAAAGACTTAATTTGTCTGGAGCACATCGTATTAATTTTTCACCACTTAAGCAATTTATTGATTTTTCACCATTCAAGCACTTTATATATATTTTTTCTAATTTATTTCATATTTTGATTGAACTATCACATTTGAGCTTTTTGTGGACTATTATGTATATATGAGTTAGCGCAACACTTTTATATATGTTTTTAGATTTGTTTGATAACTTCTGTCGTTCATGAATCCATGCTGTCTGTTGCTTAAAATAGTTTTTTACAGCAAGAGCACATCTATGTGGTCTTTTTATTAAACTCTCCAGTAACTTTGCAAACAGAGGACCCTTAAATTCTAAGGAAACCTGTTCTCTGACTTAGCAATAAAAAACAATAAACCACACATTTTGATGAGATTGTCCAAAAGGACCCACACAGCCCCACATAAATAGGGCATTCATTATTGCCTTCTTAAAACAAATGGGTGTATTTATCAACGATTTGACAAGAAAGTCACTCAACATTTATCCAAAATTCACCTTTCTTTCAACAAGACTCAATTTTCCACATTCCCTCTATTTATCACAGTGGTTTTTTCCCCACATTCAAACAGATTTAATCTGTTGAAAATACCAACAAACTAGATTTTCCTTTGTGAAAATTTCATCAAACAAGATTTGTCCAACATCCTCTCTTCAATGGGAAAATTCGGGACTATATTGTTCACACCGTTTTATCATGAATGTAGGTTTCTTCTGAAATTCGGCCAGCATTGATTTTTTTTTTAGCTTGCCCATGATCTCACTATTCCCTGTTTTGAACTTGGGAAGTACCTATTTTCTTTAGAGCTGTGAAATGTTTTTGCATTATAAAAGTGCTTAAGATTTTCATATGAAGAGTGCTGAATCATATGGAGAGTTTTGAATACAGGGTCAGCACTTCCATAGTTTATTTTTGTGTTTAATTTAAAAAAATAAAAAATAAATGGTATCTCCCCCTCTCCCTGAACAAACCAGTCACTCACATCAGGCAGGCAGGCTGGTGTCTCCATAACAAGGAAATGAGGAGCTTGCAGCCCCCCTGCTATGCTGGTACTAGGCTACATGCTCTTTTAGCATTAGGGGGTGCTTTGAGGGAGGCCTCTCCCAACACTCCCTGACTGGCACCAGATTCTTTGACAACGTAAATGCCCAGGAGAGGGTGCTGGCCAGGGCTTGAACAATGTTCCACCTACCTTCCCTCCATAGGGACAAGAAGGTGGATGTCCTCTCCACCTGAACAGGTTTTAGATGCCCCTAAAATCATAAACAGTTAACCAATGCATGCATTAAAAATGTTTTTAATTCTGTTTTTTTTTTAAATAATCTTTTTTTTTAGGGTCCAATGATGTCCTAAGATGTCCCATGTCCTCTGCTCCAGCAATGGCAGGATGGCAGGTCAGAATTCATGAGAGAATTTGTGCACTAAAATATATTCTTGCTACTGGCACAGTTTTTAGGTTTCCAAGGAACTCTAGAGATAAATTTCCCTATGATGTCATTGGCAGTATTTGGACTTAGTTCAAATATGGACAATTATGTGACATCACTGGGAAATCCCTAAGGTATCACTGCCCATATGTGGATGTTGGCCAAATATGGGCAAAGATGTCAGGGTAGCTCCTTATCCAGAGTTCCATGGCAACTTAAAACCATGCCATTGGCAGGAACTTCTTCAGTGCTCAAGTATTATTTGAGCAGTGAAGAAGGGAGTCCCATGCTCCCCCTAAACTTTAACTTGCCATTGCTGCAGCAGATGAAGCAAAGCATTGTTGGACATCACTGGACAATGTCATTTACAAATTAAAACAGAGAATAATTTGTGTTTATTTTGTGTAGTGTATTTTTTTTTTACTTTCTCTTACTTGCACACACTGGTTGATGGGTTTGGGAGGACCATTGGGGAGGGGAAAATGGAAAATGAGCCCCCGTTGCTGGCACCCCCTCCCCCCTCCCGGATACAGGGGCGTCAGAGGACCTGGTGCTGATCAGAATCCAGATAGGAAGCACCATCCATTGCTGAAGGGCATGTGCCTGGCATCAGCCCAGCAGGAGGGCTCCATGCTAACTGCTCCTTCTTTATAGGAATCCTAGCCTGCATGCCTGGCATGCCTGGCTGGTTTTGTTTGGGGAAGGGAGACTTCTACATTAAATGAATGAAATGAACCCTATTAGTGCTAGTGCTGAAACACTATATACACCAGGGCTTAAAATTTCAAGTCCTAAGCTACTAGCCAGGCCTTAAAATTTCAAGTTCTGAGCTACACCACCAACAAAAACACACTCAAACAGAGACACCTGTACACACACACACAGAAACATGTACACACACGCACAGAGACACATGTACATATACACACATACAGACACATGTATACAAACACACATACAGACACATGTATACAAACACACATACAGACACATGAATACACACACAGGCATGTACAGAGACGCATACACACAGATACACACGCACAGACACATGTAACATACACACAGACACATGTACATACATACACAGACACATGTACATACATACACAGACACATGTACACACAGACAGATGTACGTACATACACACAAACACACACACACAGACACATGTACACAGACACATGTACGCACACACATACATGTGCATACAGGCATGACGCATGTACAGATACACACATGTACATACACACAGACAAATGTACATGCATACACAGACACACACACACACCACTATAAAAAGTTGCAGTACTTTGTTGTTCACTCACAGAGCCGGGTACTGCACTCTAGGGGGAGGCAGAGAGCACAGCACACACTCCTTCCTTTGCTTTCACTGCGCTCAGCTATTGAGCAGTCTGATGGCTCCCAGTGCCAATGACAGATCCAGCCTGAGCTCCGAGCCTGCTCAGCAAGATGGCCCTGGGGGACACACTCGCCCCCACCATAATTTCCACTCGCCATTGGCGAGCAGGCGAGTGGAAATTTTCAAGGCCTGATATACACTATATAAACTTTGGAAAGCATGTCAGCAAAAGGATATTGCTGGTATTTAGCAAGATTCACCTAAAGCATTCCAACAAAGATACTTTCAAAAGTGAAAAATAGCTGCTACTATACTTTATTGTATACAGGTTAGACTGCACAGATTCTGGGATTTGTTATTTTTTAGTATGGACAGTGCTGTTTTAACTGCATTTAAAACATCAACCTACCCAACTGCCATTGATATGCCCTGCCCCTGTACTTAGCTTCATCATCTCATGAGCTTTTTTTTCCTAATGTCAGTAGAGTCTTGTACCATGTTAGCCATCAATTAATACAGAAAGCTTGGAGTTAAGGCTGCACTCACACTTGAGTGTTTTGTAGCTTGAATTTCAAAGCTTGAGGCTCTAACAATGCTCAAACTTAAAAAAAAAAAAACTATTGTTCTCTATGGTGCCTGTTCACTCAGTCAGATGGGAACAGGGTCCACAAAGAACAATTGATTTTTTAAGTTTGAGATTTTTTGGAGTTTCGAGCTTCAAGCTACAAAACGCTCAAGTGTGAATGCGGCCTAAGGGATACTCTTTATTGGCTAACTTAAGTTATTAAAGATGAAAGCTTTTGGGGCTTTATTTCTGTCCCTTCTTTTAGATTATCCAACAAGAGTATAATTTAAACTCCAACCAGGGGCGGATTGACAACTCATGGGGCCCCCGGGCAATAGGGGATTATGGGTCCCCTGTGTCCTCACCTACAATCAAACCACACCCAAAAAAGCCTATGAAAGGTACCAGGGGCATCTCATGGGGTCAATAAACAGAAAATGCTGTACAATAAACCCTCAAAAACTATGTGCAGTCCAAAACCACAAGTCCAATCTTTTAAATCCACTTCTTCTTGTGTTCAAAAATTCCTCCGTTAATATACCTCAAAAAGAAAAAAAATATTCACATAGTGCATTATCCTTTTATATATCCAAATAATAGTGACTTTATTCAAGTGAATACCCAATCACATTAAATCAGTGAAAAAGTGAACAAAGTGAAAAAAAAACTGTGAAGCCAAAAATAATGAAAAACCACGTGAATGTGAATCACTCTTCAGTGCTTTCATCCAACCAGCACTGTGACACTTCTAAATAAGGAATGCATACCCTTACCAACATTCAGAAAAAAGGAAGCTTTATCATATATCTTTCCCCAAGGAAGGTGGGAGACAGTCCTCCTATTGGTCTTTACTCCATATAGTCTGTCTTCATATTACCACCAAGATCCACCAGCCTTGAAACTCCATATATCCATTCCATATAAATATAAGCATACAGGAAACACAAATAGCATAATACCGCCAGAACTAATCTTAAAAGTAACTTTAATTAAGGTGCTCACATTTAGATAGCATAAAAACCGCTTTAAAGGTATTAAGAAATGTTTTACAGCAAACCAGGAAGTGCCCAGGGGAAATCAGACAATCTGCCCTCATCTAAAATGGCCGCCGGTCAACTTCCGGTTCTCGTGTGCGCGTTGACGTCACTTCCCTTGACGCGTTTCGTCATCGACTTAATCATAAGGGATTCAGACGTCAAGCAGGACAGTCCCATTTATAACCCTCCTCCATAAAGCTCCGCAGCATGTGCCGCCATACTGAAGAAGGGAATGATGCCCACACTTCCTATTACTACTCATATATTCACATAACGGAGGATTCACATATCATTAACACCTACAAAACTACCCTAATTCTATACAGTAACAAAACATATATATATTCTGTAACTAAACTATACTTAAAATCTCATCCATATACATTATAATCCGATAACAAATTTAATATAATAAATATAATACCTATCATGTATGTATTATCCATATTCCATAAGAACATCATGTTTAAGGAGGAACTCATTAATAGTTTCACCCACCACTCATATTCAAAAATTACTATCCTATATATATTATCAATATTTCATAAAATATATAATATTAAAAACCTCAAAACATCAATCCAATATTATAATCTAAAATTAGCCTCAATTATTCACAATATTAAAATTCTATAATCCCCTGATTTGAATTATAATAAACCTCAAAACCATAAAATATAATCTAAATTATATAATTACCTAAATTTAAATTAAATTAATATAAAACATTTTTTTAAAATTAAAATATTTAATAATTTTTTAATTTTTAATCAATATATATTAATAATCATATTTTCTATAATTCCCCCTATTTTTTCATTAATTCCTATAAAAATATTAATAAAAAAAAAATAATAAATAAAGATTGATATTAAATTTTAATTATATATCAATTATATTTAAATATATATTAATAATCATATTTTCTCGTCATACACCATATTCTAATTAATTCCTATAAAATTCTTAAAAATATTAATTAAAAACAAATCATCCCGGAACCTAATCCTATACACAGCTAATAATTTGAAACAAAGCAATTCAGGTCCAAATCTACATTTAACCCACTCGGTTTTAAAGTCTGTAGCTCAAATATCCAAAAAGTTTCATTCCTTGAAATATCTTTAATTCTATCCCCTCCTCTCCAATGCGCATCCACCCTGTCAATACCACTAAATTTTAGACCACTCGGGTCACAATCGTGGTAATCCCTAAAATGTCTTGAGAGGCAATGGTCCTTCTTACCGTTTTTTAATATTTGTAACATGCTCATTCAATCTTTTATATAATAGCCTCTTTGTCCTACCCACATACTGAAGCCGACATGGGCATTCTAATACATAGGTGACATAGGGAGTAGTACAGGTAATAAAATTCTTAATATTATAGTTCCTACCTGTTCTACATGATACAAAACTAGAGACCACCCGTGTATTGGTATTGGTAACTTTACACATAATACATTTCTTACAGGGGTAAAAGCCAATAAAATCAAACATATGTTTCTTCTTTTGTTTAGGGGGAGAAATAATATTCTTAACTAAAACATCTCTTAGATTTTTTGTCTTCCTATAAATGAAAGAGGGTTTCACCGGGATCTGAGGTCCTAAGATACAGTCTTTTTTCAATAAGGGCCAATATTTATTAAAAATAGATTCAACTTCTTTATACTGATTACTATATCCTGGTACAGGTTTCAATTTCTTATTTCCTATATAATACCTACTTATTTCGAACCTAGTCTTTCCAAGCACAAATGGGTCGTACCCTTTCTCCACAAATCTCCTTCAATTAATAATTTCTGTCTGTTCAATATACTCTTTTAAACGTGAACAATTTCTAAAAATTCTCAGAAACTGTCCTTTTGGGATCCCATTGATCCAGATAGGATGATGACAACTATGTATAGGTATATACCCATTCCTATCTGTTTCTTTGAAATAGGTTTTAGTTAATATAACATTATCTTCTATGAAAATATTTCAAATCCAAGAAATTCACAGAATACCTATCCATAGTTACCGTAAAAACTTAAATTATACTCATTATTTTCTATTAACTCCAATAAAGGCCTTTAACGCATCCATAGGACCACCCAGATAAGCAAGATGTCACCTTTCAATGTACCTTTTCCATAAAACCAATCCCTCCCATTTTTTATTAAAAATGACATTCTCCTCCCATTTACTCAAAAAAATATTTGCTAGGCTGGGCGCAAACTTTGCGCCCATTGCCACTCCCCTTTTTTATTCAAAAAACTACCTCCATACCAAAAGTAATTCCTATTCATACAGAACTCTAAATGTTTAATAATAAATCTTCTCTGCTTTGTATGCAAATCTGCAAATCTCTTTAAACCCCACCATGGCCGCTTTGATTCCATCCTCATGTCTTATATTAGTGTAAAACGAATTTACATCAATGGTTATCAACATGGTATCACTTGAAACTTTTCTCAATTCTACTAAATCAATGACATCTTGAGCATCTCTCAAATATAAGATGCATTTGTTTCACTATAGGCTGGAAGGAAAATAATCAATATACTCTCCAGTTCTTGAGTGTATACCTCCAATACCATTAATGATAGGTCTGCCGGGGGGATTAACCAAACTTTTATGTATATTGGGTAAATAATATATAATGGGTAATTTACAATGTAATGGGGACTATATATCTCGCTTCTTTCTCGTTTAAAATATTATCTTTTTTTGCTTTATTAATTAATTCCTGGAGTATTTTTTTATATTTACTCAATGGATTAGTTTTAATTTCAACATATGTATCTGTATCTTTTAAAATATTCCCCATAACTTCCTCATAGGCCGATCTATCCAATACAACCCCCCCCCCCACCCTTATCTGCCGGCCTGATCACAACATTGTTCCTATCCTTTAATGAATTTAACCCCTCATGTAAATCCACTTCCTCCTTAAACCTCTTAGCTTCGATGTTCCTAATATTTTCTGTTATCATATGTTTAAAAACTTCTACAAATTGATTTTTGTTATTAACCGGATTAAAAGTGGAATTATTCCTTTTGAATCCACTATGTGTATATAAATTAGAAGGACCCAATTTGTTCTCCAACAAATTGGGCCCAGGTAAAGACAAAAAGTATTTTTTTATGTTTAATTTCCTTATGTATTTATTTACATCAAATATATACTCCAAATTTATTCATATTTGATCTAGGAGCAAATTTGAGTCCTTTATCCAAGGACATATATCTCATTCTGTGTCAAGGGAACAGATAAACTGAGATTATATATCCTTTACCTATACATCCTTCCTTTTTCTTTTGCTGTCCATCTTTGGGTTCCATCCCTTGTGTATCTGAATTTTTCGGTCACATACTCCATTTTGTCTTCCTCCCTCCCAAAGTTAAAAACCTTGTATATGTAGCAGGGGCAGACTGACAACTCATGGGGGCCCCCGGCAATAGGAGATCATGGGGCCCCTGTGTCCCTTGCCCAAACTCAAAAAAAGCCTATGAAAAAGGTACCAGGGGCATTCTCATGGGGTCCCCTACTGACCCCGGGCCCTTGGGGAATGCCCGAGTTCCCAAATGGTCAGTCTGCCCTGACTCCAACT